TTTATAAATCAGAGAAATTGGGCACCCATGGTGGACAGTGTTGGCTGGAGCTTCCCAACTAAATCAAGCCTGGAAGCAGGAGCGGCATCCACTTCCAAAATGGCTTGCCTCTGGAAACTCTATGTACGAACAGTGTTCAGGCTGTTCATTCATAGGGTCGCTATGAGTCGTCTACGACTCAACGGCATTAAACAACAACAACAACTTTAAAGGAACCAGTTCTTTTCTAAATAGATACACAAATAGGCATCTAAATTAGACAACTTTATTTTTAAGTTGTAGGTACCTTAGTAAAATTTACCCATACTGTTTGCTTTTTCCCACTAAAAACTTATGCGAATAACCTTCCATTTGAAAATGGCTCTTCATCCAGGCATTTATGCTGATAATATAGTATTGTTATTTTATGCCAGGCTCGCCCTAACTAACCTGCAGCCTGAAGGAAGATTTAATAAAATGATGACACATTTTCCTTCACAGATTTGCTTTTAAATTAAGTTACAACCAAAGCCAGAATTTTGAGAATGCAAAAATAACCTTATTAAAAATGAAGTAACAGTTGGGAGTGTTTTTGGAGCCATGTTAAAAGTCCTGGGAATAAAACTATATCTGTGATGACCACACCTTACATGGGTCATTTGAACGCAGATCCAACTTGTGTTTACCAGAGATGAGCAGAAAGGTAGCAGTAAGTTTAAGGGAAGCTGTGTACTGAGCAGTTTCCTTACATGCTCTGGTTGGCTGAAACACAATAGTCAGACTCTAGTGTAACACAGCTCAAACTAGAGGAAGGCTTGTTTGTAAATACCCTTAGCAACTTGAAACTCTTAAGATTCCAACAATGGCATCAACTGACTAAAAATTTCTCAGTAACCTGATCACAAAGATTTCTCATTTTTCACATGAATGTGTTTATAGCTTATAAACAGGTTACTAATGACTCCTTTTACCAAGCACATAATTAAACAATGGCCTCTGTATTAAAAATTTTAAAAAAAATAAGTGTGCAGAGTTTAAATATAACATAAACTCATCATCTCAACTGGTTAAATTTTGTTTCATTAGTTTATAATCACTGCTATTCTGCCACAGCTTTAAAGCTAAAGTTTTTCAGGCTAATGGGGTGTTGTTGTTGTGGTTGTTTTATAATACTACTTTATTTATAAAATTCAAATACACTATTTTTCAGATCAGATTCTTCCAATTTCCCTCACCTACACTCACCCACACCCCCCATCAAATTGTAGACTCTCATCATTAATAAACCACCACAACCACCACCATCCGCACAGCACATCCTCATCCGTGTGCAGGCTAACAGGTTATTTTGGTCCACCCTCCTCCTATTTTGGTATTTGCCACTGAATCAGAACCAACTTGCAGTGGATGTTCCAGTGGATTTTCAGAGGCTGTAAAAAGCAAAAGAGTAAGTAAAAAGACTGTCCATCTTTCTCCCTGGGAACAGCTCGTGGACTCAAACATCTACCTTTGGGTCGGCAGTGCAACTCCTTGCCACTAGGCCACCAGAATTTCCCTCACTGTCCAGAGTCTGATTATTTAATATTCTGAGTGAATTCTTTCATGAATTCTCTGATCTTTACCTTTTCCATCTTGCTATATTCCAGAGTGCACTGTCAATGCTGAATTTTTCATATATCACCTTTATGAAGCTGTCCTACTTTCATACCTTAACTATTTTGCTTTGGTTATCTGTTATAAGATTCTCAATCTTTAAAAGTCACCAGTAACTTTGGCTCATTCAGATCCTTGTTTCTTACTTACTGATACACACACAACCATCATACTCTACTAGGCCCTACTCTCTTAATAACCAACTACCTCTACATTTTTCTCCTAATTTTCCCCAGGTTTTTTGCTACTTAATTGTCCCCTATGACTAGAACAACAGCTAATAAGAATAGAACAGGCTGCCCTTCACCGTTAACTCTACTGCTCCAAAACATTCATTATTAAAGACTCTGCTGAAATTTTACTTTCTGTTTCTTAAATATTATTGAAGGAGCTGAAAGTAAACAGAATTACTAATTGTAACTAAAAAATTGAGAGCAAATGCAAAAATGTACAACAAAAGAAAAAAAAATCCTACATAAACATAGATTCTGTTTCTTATCCAGGTTAGACTTATCATCCAATGACCTTGCTTCAAATTGAATTCTTGCTAAGTATAAGAAGGAGCATCCATCATTGTCTACAAAGCAATACAGGGAGAAAAATAGACACAAGGTAAGATATAATCCATGCACACATATATTAAATTTACACACTTCCCAAGAGTTTTACCCTCATAAAATTAAGCAACTCATCTTTAAAAGATTATATATGTGTATGGCTGGAGGCTTAGTAGGCTGAAGGCTGACTGAAATGTCAGCAAAGTGCATCTATCAGTTTGCTTCAGAGGAAAAACAATGGCCAAAGAGATCTACAGCCTCAAAAACCCACCAGAGGGGCACCATGAGTCAGAATGGACTTGACAACAATGAGTAATGGTGCACAACACGTTTGCTCCCTAGTGGGTAAAGAGTAGAACTAGCAACCCACAGGCAAACAGTTCATATCCACCAGCTATTCTGGAGGAAAAAGAGAGGCAATCTTGCCCCATGTGATTATTAGTCTCTGAAAACCCACTAGACAGTCAGCTATGTTAAATTTTTGACTCAAAAGCAATGAGAGAGAGGCGGGCTCTTTTTTACTTTTTTTAATTTAGCAAAAGAAGTTTAAAAAAAAGTTTGTTAAGGTAATATACAACACGCATGGCTGGTAAAAGAGATAAGTTGTGTAAAGAGTTAAAGAGAAAAGGAAAGAAAATGGAGAGAAATGCCCCTGGAAAGTTAGGGGTGGAGTCAAACCTTTGGGTCCACTGCTAACAGAAAAACGAGCATGGCCCTGTTTTATTAGCTGCCAGTCTTGTGAGACTGGTTATAGCCCAGCCCCACTTGGGGACCTATGGGATTTGTGTGGGTTTGGATCCCTTGAGGAGGGGGCTTCTCCCCTTTTTGGTTCCTGCCTGAAGTACTATCTCCTTCGTGCAACTGTTTTTGCCTTCCCTTCCTATATCTCAGAGAGATGGGCTTTAAAACTGCTATAACTTAGAATCCATATTGATTTTTTTCCAAAGTTGGTGTTAGGCTTTAAATTTAAGCATTCTAATAAAATAACATGAAGAAGACAGCTAATACAATGCCTTGTGTCTGAAATATACAGCTAACAGGCTTAATAGTAGAGAAAGGAAGAACTTAAATGCAAACTGCTGTAACTGAGGGAAAGGGTATACACAGAGAGCATGTGAATGAAGATTATGAATAAGGGAAGAAGGTGAATTCAAACCAGAAAGAGGCCTTGAGGAACCAATGATACATGTGCCAAGATGAGAAGAACATCTTGACTCCACTTCTCAAGGCCACATAAAGTCAACAAAGGGGAATTCAGGGTAGCAACCTATTATTTCCCCCATATCCCAGAAGAAATAATTCATCATCAAAATACTTCTGATATTGCAGCAAAAAAGTAATACCATTAGTATCTGAGATGAGAGAAGGGGAAGATTAACATCCAAAGCAAATAAAAACAATTTAAACTGGAGAATTACAGAAATACATTCGAAGAAACAATTTTCTCACAGTCAGCTTTCTATCACACTACCATGAGGTGTTTCATTCTTGAAAATACTTGATAGTAAATCAATGACTGCCTGGAAGGCATCCCTTCATTCAGCAGAATTTGACCCCAATTCCTTCTCTGACATCTTTTCTCTGAAAAGGAAACCATGTAATTTTATACAAATAACAATCTAGAACAAAAAGAGTTACTCTCTCTTCCTGGCCAAAATTTTCACTTGGCTTTATATAACAATAGTAGTTAAAATTACCCTTTCTGATAGCTATGCTACATGGAGGGAAATGGTTTGACATCAGGAAACACTCATGAGCTTCAAGAAATCAGAGTATGCTTATTATGAAAGAAGGAGAAAGTTCAACACTTCAACCCAAAGGTGGTACTTCTTTGGCAATTTGAATTCACTGGCTGCTCTGCTAGAAAATCTCCTTCTATGCATTACAGCATCCAAATTCCACTGGAGGGTCTGACTTGCTGGAAACGAGCATGTGATTGAGTTCTGGAGAAGGGAGCTTTGGCACAGTCCTCAGAGAGCTAAGTCGTTAACCCAAAAGGAAACCCTTATCTGATGGTTCCATGAGGCAAAAAGGAACAAAACTTCTCCTGTGTGATGTAGACCTTCAGAAACCTGGCAGAGGTTCAGCTACAAGACAGTTACAATTCAATAGCAATGAGTTTGAGTTTTGATAAAAAAGAGACTTTTTTCTTCAGCAGTGATAGGCTATATAAAAGAGAAGTATAAAACTGACACACAGAGTTTACCATGAATTGATGCAAATTGCACAATTTTAAGACTCTTATAAGACTAATATGTCTATGGCACTCTGGTGACTGAGTGGTAATGAATTGCATGGCTGACATAGAGGTACGTGGTTTAAATTCACCAGTTGCTTTGCAGAAAAATAGCAATCTCTTCCCATGTAATTACGACCTCTGAAAATCCACTGGAGGGTCTGCTATGGGTCAGTTCTGACTCAGCTGTATACAACAATAATACATCTAAGTAAGCTTGACATTGAATTAAGTATGGTAGTTCATCATATCTTTGGACCTATTCTTGGGACCACAAATTTGAATGATCGTATAGGTGATTTGTATTTGTCTACAAGAAATATTAAGTTCTTAAACATCATATAGTTAAGGGTAGGTGGTTATGCAACACTCCAATGTATAAAAAGTGATGGCTTTATTTCAAGGTCTGAACATTATGCTTTTAGTCAAGCAAACAAATATTCAGTTATTCATTGGCCCATCTTGCCTATTCTAGACACAAAGGCACAGCTAGCCACAGGTGGAGATCCAACATCTAATGGAAGAGCCCTGAAATGCTCTCTCCATTAAGTACCTGACTGTCCTTCTGCCCTTACCTGATAATGCGCCTGGGCTTGCTGTGCTGAGTTCAAGGTGACATTGCAGAGCTTGCAGTAGAGGGGCTTACAGAGCTCCTCCAGGGCAGAGTCTTGCTCTCCTCTCTTAGATAATTCTTCTTCCCCTGCCAGAGGCAAGGGAGCCTCCTGCCCAAAAGGCTTCTGTGGAGGAAGCTGCAAGGTTCCTGTAGACCTGGCGGCCACTGACATAGGAAGAGAGGTTGAAGGCCGCTTAGGTGGAGGAAGCCCGGGGTGTTGCAAGAGGATCATTGGGTAGAAAAGTCTTGGGCATAATCCAGTGGGTGAAGAGAAGTCTGGTCTTCAGATCTGAATCAATAGCAAGAGAATACTCACGTTAAGAACGTGACCTCAGACTTAGTAGTACAACATGTAAATGACCATACCATATAACCTTTTCCTTCTCCAATTCCATCTTTAGGATTTCCTTTCTTTTTGCCTCATCTGGCAGACTTTCCCTTACCTCTTAGTCTATACTGATATAACTCTCCTTTCATTAAGAATAGCTTAGTAGATTTGGTTTATTTTGCTTGGTCCAACTGCAACTACTATCCCTCTGGCCCAAGGGAATTAATAGTTTTGCATCCATGGCTAATTAAATCTAAAAGTCATATGACTGAAATGGACATCAAAGGTCACCTCACCCAGACCTTAAGCACTTTCATATTCAAATATTCTTCATGTTAATCATGCATAGATAAACATCAGCGAAGAACCTTAGCAAGTGTCTCCTTTCGATCCAAACTAGTCTTTCTGTCCAAATTCTGTCAAAAAGAATGAGAACAAAAGTTTCATCTCTCAGAATCATTAAAGCTGTATTTGAATGAACTAAAATATCAAGAAACTCTAAGAATAACTAACCCAGAATTAAAATACAACAGAAAAGAAATTAGACTGTCCCTTCTGAATGACAGAAATATTTCAATATTTGAGCCACTGATTCCTTAGAGCAAAGGTTACAAATAGCCTGCAGGCCACATGCAGCCACAGACATGCTTTTAGAACATACAGTGTTTTGGTTTGCTTTTCACTTTTTGAATTCAATTAGCTTTCAACATTATAAGAAGAGAGATTTCTGGCTTTTCCTGATAAAGGGACACGATGGCAGCTCTTAACCTATGAACCTACACAGGAAATAATTAGTGCTAACAGACATTGTCCCTTGTAGCCCAGTCTGACTCTGACTCTTCATGTTACCTCCATCTCTGCCCGGCCTGCTTTTCACAGGCCTATGATTTGAAAACTATACATTAAGTAGCCTTAGACTACACTTACTGGCTCCCTGTAAAATAAAAATATTTCAGTACACACGTGCACACAAAATTATCAAATAAACATCTAGAATTATTACCCAGTTACACTAACCATCAGCCCCAATGTCATTCCAGTTCCTCGGTCTTTAGGTTGCTTCCTTCCCCTTCTTATGAGATCACTGATAGCTCTAATCTGTTTCTCTCATTCTGTGTTTCTTTATTCTGTGTTCTACTCTCTCTCTAATCTTTATGCATGATCTCTCCTGCCTCCCACCCAGATGGCATCCTCTAGCCATATGGGTATCTCAAAGTGAACCCTAGAACACACTTGCAGTTCCCAAGATTCTCATTAACCCAAACTGAAATCCCTAGTTCAAATTCCAGTATTCCCTTCACTCTTTAACATTATTAAAACCTCTTTTCTTGGTCAACACACCATGGTTATTTTAAGCAGCCCAAAGATTAGGCTGAGTTTTTCCACTTTCAATGAAAATGTGCATATATAATAGCAATAACAAATTTACCAAGATAAACTAGGTAACTGCTGAAAAAGGAATAAAACCCTCTTATCACATTTGAGAAATGCACGGACCCCAAAAGTTAAAATAAAGTAACTATATTCAGTGTCTGGAGATTGCACAGGAAATCTGTGCAATGGGAAAATAATGTTTTAGGAGCAAACACACAACTTATTGATCATAGGATTTCACAATATCTCCCAATGATCATAATATTTCCAAAAGGAGTAACATTATTTGGTTCCCAAGCAGAAGTAATGCTGCCATATCTCTGGGAACATAAAGGTAAACAATACAGATTTAAACTTTTTAAATAAAAGTAACCATGCTATATTCCTCTCAGTCAAATCAAACACATCCAGAAAGTAAAAATTGACAGGGCATTTTAAAAATGGAAATAGAAGACCATTTTTAAAAAAAGATTATGTTTAACTAATAATTCACAATGGTAAAAGACCACACACATACCACCTGTCCTGGGTCATTCTGATGTGAAACAGCCCCAGTTATGCCTTCAGCTCAGAAATGAGAAGGATAAAGATGGTACAAAGTATCTGGATAAAGGATATTAGCAATATAAAATCAAATGCTACCAACTGCCTAGACATGTCTGAACTTGTTTTTTGAATGCTCACTCCCACATGAGGAAATTCCAGGGTGTATCTCCCCCAATGTTGCCCACAAGTTCTCATCAAAATAAAAGCCCTCCTGCAGGCATAGAAATAAGAAAGACTTCTTTCCAGAGATGGCAAGTCCACTGAATTGCCATTGTATCTTGAAAATTGTGGAAAGATAGCTAAGTATTGATAAGTACTTCTTCTGGTATATTTAACAATCAAAACCACGTCAATCCAAAAAAATTTAAACATGACAATCACAGCTGGTATTACTAATCTTGCAAGCAAGGATTAGCATAAAGCATAAATATAAAATAAAGAAAGAAATCAAAGAATGAATGAATGGTGGAACAGAGACCCAAAACACAGGCAACTCAAATTTGTTCCACTGCTGCATCTTTTACAAGAAACTTGAAGGCTGATGTAAAGAAATACTCTAGATCTTAAAAACCATTCCATTTCATGCTTGGAGTGGCATGAATGAAAGATGTATGATGGCTAATGTTTTAGCTTGGAAGAGAATGATGGGAGGAAAAAAATCAGAGCTTTACCATGTATCCTCTTTAAAGAAAATTAAGTGTCACAGAATACTTGGTTTTCATGATTGGAGTGGGGCCTACTTTCCCATATTGCATTAAAGCCAATTACTTTTTCATTAAGAGGAGGGAGAACGGAATAAAGGAACATATTACTGTGCCCCCTCCCAGTCTGTAATTGCGAATTCTGGAAAGCAGAGAAAGGCAGTGAGCCTTACTGAGAGGTCATCAGAACACAGAGCAGGAATGGGGGGCAGGGGGGAGACTCAGCAGGTATAAGATTTATCATAAAAAGAAGAATCCAAGAATCCGAAAGAACGCAGGAACCTGGGCGAGAAGAGGCCTTGGTGAATTGGCGACTGTTTGCCAACCTGAGTCCTGAGGGTTCCGAATCCTATAGAACGGTCTACATACTGGAATCAGTGCTGCATACACTTCAGCATCGCCCACCTATACCTGACATTCCTAAGGTGCGCGTGCACACACGCGTCTGCACACAAACACACACACTCAACGCCCTAAGGATGCCATCACGGAAGATGGAATCCCCAACTCCCTACGGGCGGGCGCAGTGCGAGGGCCAAGGCAGTTGCATGCAGAACCTGTCCTAACCATGCACGTGAAATCCTTCAAACAAACAAACAAAGCGAGCCCCGTCACGTGAAGGGCAGGCGGGAGGGCAGCATCCGAGGACCCCGGGCTCCTCGCCCTGCGGGCACCGCACCGCCGCCCGCACTCACCGGAACCCCGGGACGCGCGGGGAGTCTCGGCCCAGGACGCCAGGGCTCCGGGCCGCCCCGCAGGCTCAGCTCCGCCTCCCCTCCACACAACTTCACCGGCTGGCCTCTGCCAAGCCCTCCACAGCTGAAGGCTGACTGTCAAAAGTCAGTCCAACCCGACACAGAAGGAAACAGCTGCAGGAAGTGACTGCGGAACCGGGAGGCGGCGGAGGAGGAGACAGGACGCCGGGCTGGCGTCTGCACTGCGCATGTGCGGGCAGAGCCGGCCCCGCGGTGGCTCCGGCATCCCTGAGGGAGGTGAGCCTGCAGGTGTCCGCACTGCCAGCGACAGGCCGTGGGTGGGAAACAAAGGCGACGGTCAAATGCTGCATGCAACGCCACCAGTCCTGGCAGGCGGCATCGAAAGGCATCATGTAGCATGGAAAGTTGGTCCATAGCAGGAGCTTGTCTTGCAACTTTCACCTGCCTGTGATCAAACCATTTTCATATATAACATCGCTCAGCTTGTTGGTTGCTGGCTATGGTAACTGAATGGAAATGTCAAAATGTTAAGACCCATTGAACTGTTGTGATAGATAGTTTAAATTATCTTTCCATCCATGCCCCAGGATGGAGGAAGAAGAGCAAGGTTGCCAGTTCAGTGGTCTCCCGTCACACAAGACGCCGTACACAGGCCACCCAGCTCTGCACCAAACAGGAAGAACACAAAAGAGACTTTTTCCTGGCCCCCAGAGCCATACCTTCAAGACAAGAAACACCTGAAAGAGACCCGTTAAAGTTAGAATGTCACACCTGCTAATAGTCGGCCTGAGCATCTTTAGAGTTGACATTGAGAGATGAAGTGAGGACATTCCAACTCTAAAATTCTATTCCTTTTTAAATATACCAGTATAAAAATTGGTAACAGTAGCCAGGAAATCAGGAGATTAATTGCATTGGGAAAGTCAGCTCTGAGTACTGAAGAGCAAGAGTTATGAAGAGCAACTGGAGAGTACTGGAGACTAAGGTGCGCCTGATCCAGGCTATAGTCTTTGCAATTATGTGCTATGCATCAGAGAGTTGGACAGTGAATAGGGATGATAGTGAATGATGCCTTTGAGCTGTGGTGCTGGAGAAGAGTACTGAATATGTCATGGACTGTAAGGAGAACAAACAGGTTTGCCCTGGAGAGGTTGAGGCCGGGAATGCTCCTTGGAGTCAAGGATTCTGAAGCTTCCTCTGACGTACTTTAGGCATGTTGCAAGGAGGGACTGGTCCTTGGAGAGGGACATCATGTTTGGGAGCGTGGAGGGACGGCGCAGGAGAGCAAGAGCCTCGATGAGATGGATCGATTCTGTGGGTGGAGTGGTGGGAATGAGTGTGTTTGAGACGGCGAGGTTGGCACAGGATATTACGTCATTTAGGGCTCTTGTACATAGGGTTGCTATGAGTCGCAAGCGACTCAATGGCACATAACAACAACATATGAAAATTTGTGAGTCTTTTTTTCAAATCTAACTAAAATGAAAAGGAGACCTAAGTCGAATGGTTGTTCGTTGCCAGTGAGTCGGCACCAGTTCATAACTGACCCTCCGGAGGATTTTCAGAATCTGTAAATCATACTAGAGATTACTCAGATCTCCCATGGAGTAACTGGTGG